ATATATATAATATTTAACAATATTTACTTCAATTCCACCAAAGACTTTGTTCTCTGTGGATCTGCTTCAGTGTACAGGCTCTATTTATCTTCCTATGCTAACTTTAGCTACTGTTCTGACACATTTAGCTAGCCTTTTGCTACTTTTAAATTCTGGCTAGCCTTACAATACATTTAGATAGGTTTGAGAAAACACTTATACTTTAGCTAAACTTTTCATTCTTTTAGCCAGCCTGTTCCTGCTTTCAGCTACACTTTTGATACTTTTAGCTAACAGTTTTATTCTTTTAGTTAGCCTTTTGCTCTTATAGTAACCTTATTATTCTTTTAGTTAGCCTGTTCCTGCTTTTAGCTACACTTTTGATACTTTTAGCTAGCCTTTTGCTGCTTTTAATTAATCTTTTGATACTTTAGCTAACCTTTTCATTATTTTAGCTAGCCTGTTCCTGCTTTTTGCTACACTTTTGATACTTTTAGCTAACAGTTTTTTTATTTTAGCTAGCCTTTTGCTGTTATAATAACCTTATTATTCTTTTAGCTAGCCTTTTGCTACTTTTACATTTTATCTGGCCTTTTGATTCTTTTAGCCTGACGTTAGCCTTTTGCTCCTTTCAGCTAACCATCTGAAATCTTTAACTGATCTTCTAATACTTTTAGTGAGTGTTTAGTTTCTTTTAGCCTTTTGTTTCTTTCAGCCCTTAGGTGGATTTTTGATACTTTTAGCTAATCCTTTGCTACTTTTAGCTTTTAGCTGGCCTGCTACTGTTTGCTAGCCTTTTGCAGATTTCGACTTTTATCCAGCTTTTTGCTACTTTTTGATTTTTAGCTAGTTTTTTTTATAGCTATTCCTAGATATGTTTAGTCTTTAACAACTTGTAACTAACTTCTTTTTGATTTTAGCATATGTTTTGCTATTTTAGCTATTTTTATTTAATAATTTAAATGGTGTTTTAATTTAATTTAATAATTTTGTTTCTTTGTTAGCTTTTAGATAATGTTCTACATATTTTAGTGCTGCTCTGCTTCTCGTAGCTTTTAGCTAGATTTTTAATCTTTAGTTATGGTTCTGCTTTTTTCATCTTTTAGCTGATATTTTCTAGCTGTGATGCTTTTGTTTTCAGCACAGATTTGCTTGACATCAGAGGAAAAAAAACAGCCAAAATAAAACCCAGAGCAGCTTAGCAGATAAGACCACCGACTTTTCCTGAAACAGACAAGCTGTGCTGACCCACCCCCACCCCAAATCCTCCCCAGACGGGTGGCAGAAAACCCAATCCTTCCCCCGGTTCAACGTCTGCAGTTAGAAAAAGCAAAAAGGAACTGCTCTGCAGAGGGACCCAGCGTTTGGATCCAGCTCGCTCAGACTGACCCAGATACACAGACTAATCCTCAACACGGGTCCAAACCCACTCAGGTCCAGCAGCAGTTTCCATGTTCAGCACGTGACGTGAATGAAAACCCACACAGGGTCAGGAGGGCAGAGACCGGCACAGATTTAAAGTCAAAGTTGTAAAAACACAAACATCCGGAACGTTTTGTTGTCTTCACTGTCGCAGCTAAAAAACAAAAACAGTTCAATCTGCGTCAACTTTCTGTTGGTGTTTATTAACACACAAAACAAAAAGACTTGCTGCAAGCCTTGAGGTATTTTAGCTGTTTATAAAAAATGTTCAGCTCATTCAGGACATGAAAGTTGTGACTTTTAGATTTTGTAACTTATTTTTATTTTTTTTGTTTTGTAACGTTTTATTATAGCTTCTCTATTTGTCTTCTTGTGCTTGTAGTTTTTAGCTTCCATTCTGCTACTTTTTGCTTTTATTAGCTTTATGCTAGTTTGAGCTTTAAGCAAGCTGTTTGCTATTCAGTGCTTTTAACAAACGTTTTGCTACATTTAGCTTTTTACTAGCATTTGCCTACTTTAAACTAGCTTTTACCTAACTTTTGCTAGATGGAGCTTTAGCTAACATTTTGCTATTGTTTTTCTAGCTTTTTGCAGCTGTAATAATTGCAATTTCCCCCCAGGGATCAATAAAGTATTCTGATTCTGATTGATCATTTTAGATTTTAGCTACCCTTTTGCTACTTTAGGTTTTAAGCTAGCACTTTACAAATTTTAGCTATTAGTTATACTTTTGCCGAGTTTAGCTTAAAGCTAGTTTTCTACTAGTTGGAGCTTTTAGCTAACATTTTGCTACCTTTATTTATCTAGCTTTTTAATACTTGTAGCTTTTACTTAGCCTTTTGCTACTTTAGGCTTCAGGCTACCGTTTTATTACTTTTAGCTGTTTGTTATTACTTCACTACTTTCAGCTTTAAGCTAGATTTTTTTTTGCTAGTTGGAGTTTTTTTGCAAGCAGTTTGCTATTAAGTTAATGCTTTGCTACCTTCAGCTTTTTTTCTAGCTTTTTAATACTTTTAGGTTTTAGACAGGCTTTTGCTAAATTAAACTTTTAGCTAACTTTTCAGTGCTTTTAGTTAGCTTTTTGCTTCATTTTTATTCTGTTTATTTTAGCTTTAACAACTCAGGTTCAGCTACTTCAGCAGATTTCAGCTGCCATTAAGCACGCACCACTCTTTTGTAGAAAATGCAGGTATAATTTTTGCTTTCTTTTCCAGAAATAAATGCTTTTTAAGCTCAGTCAAACTGAACCTGTTAGCTTTAAACACCCAATAATCTCAAGATTTTGAATCAAAATGAATCTTAAAACCTGACATTTTAATAAAAGCTCATCTCTATCAGCTCTAGAAGGAAACGTTTTGGTCTCTCACCTACAGCTGGAGCATCGTACTCGTCTCCCAGCAGGATCTCTGGAGCAGAATACGCCAGCGACCCGCAGCTGGTGGCCAACATCATCCCTGGCTGGAATAAATTACTGAACCCAAAGTCCGTCAGCTTCACGGCTCCCTGTCGGGGGAAGAACACCACGTTCTCCGGCTTCAGGTCCCGGTGGACCACGTGGAGCCGGTGGCAGTACCCTACGGCGCGCACGATCTGTGCGAAATGACGCTTGGCGGTGCCCTCGGCCACGCCTCCGTCGTGGCGGATGATGTAGTCGTAGAGGTCGCCCCCCTCTGCCAGCTCCATGACCAGGTAGAGCGTGGTGGGGGTGTCGATGACCTCGTAGAGCCGGACCACGTTGGGATGCTGCACCAGCCTCATGCACCTGAAAACGAGCACCTGATCAGACATGTGGGGGATGTAGTTTTATTTTGGAAAGTTCTAGATCTAAGTCACACCTGACTTCCTGTAGGAGGTGACTCGATGCCATCACGTCCAGTTTCGTCTTGTCGATCATCTTCACGGCCACCAGCTGGCCCGTGTTGACGTGACGGCCCAGTTTAACGACGGCGAAGTGGCCTCTGCCCAGCGTACGACCCAGATGGTACAGACCACTGAGATCCGAGCGAGTCGGGCTGGTCCTGGGGTCCATGGGTCCATCCTGAGCTGGGGTCAACGCTCCGGAGGAGTCCATGTTTCAAACAGAGGAGGAAACGAGTCGCAGCAGTTTAAAGGGATGAAGCTCCTCACTGTTGGTAAAACGCCTGGCAGGAAAAAAAAGTGAATAAAATCAAGAAAAGCTGAACTTTCTGAGGACTAAATTAGAAAAACTGAGTTGTTACAACTTAAAACACACTAGCTTAAAGTGACAGAATGCTACATAGAGGCTAAAAGGAGGAAAATGCTAGCAAAAAGCTAAAATAGTAAACGGCTGGCAAAAAGCTAGAAAAAAGTGTTTAAAGGCAAGCTAATAATTAAAAGTAGCAAAGCCTTGCTAAAAGTAACAAAGGGCTAGCTAAAAGCCAAAAACAACAAAACACTAGATACAAACTAAAAGTAGCAAAAACATTTGCTAATGCTAAATTGGCCAGAGGCTAGCTAGCTCAAAAAAATTTAAAATAGCAAAGACTTGTTAAAAGTAACAAAAGGCTAACTAAATGCTAAAAGTAGTGACATGCTAGCTAAAAGTTAAGTATGAAAAAGGTATCTAAAAGTAACAAAATACCAGCTAAATGCTAAAAGTAGCAACACTACATAGAATCTAAGAGGAGCAAATGGCAAATTAAAAGCTAGAATTTGGAAATTGCTAAGTAGATGCTAAATGTAGCACAGGGATAGCTAAAAGCTAATTCTTAATTAACAAAAGGCTACTACAAGCTAAAAGTAGTGACATGCTAGCTAAAAGCTATGGAAAAAGCAAAATGCTAGCAAAAAGCTAAAATTTTAAGCAGCTGGCAAAAAGCTGGAAAAAATGTGTTTATAGGCAAGCTAATAATTAAAGTAGAAAAGACTTGCTAAAAGTAACAAAGGGCTAGCTAAAAGCCAAAAACAGCAAAACACTAGCTACAAACTAAAAGTAGCAAAAATATAGGTGAATGCTAAAGTGGCCAGAGGCTAGCTAGAAATTAAAAATAGCAAAGACTTGTTAAAAGTAACATAAGGCTAACTAAATGCTATAAGTAGTGACATGCTAGCTAAATGTTAGGTATGAAAAGGCTATCTAAAAGTAACTAAATGCCAGCTAAATGCCAAAAGTAGCAAAACACTATATAGAAGCTAAGAGGAGCAAACGGCAAAATAAAAGCTAGAATTAAGAAATTGCTGACTAGATGCTGAATGTAGCATAGGGGATAGCTAAAAGCTAGTCCTAATTAAAAAGCTAACTACAAGCAAAAAAGTGCAAAACGCTAGAAACAAAGCAAATCGTAGCTCAATGATATGTTAGTTTTACTGAAATCCATCCAGTGTTTATGAGATATTTTGCTAACAGATGAAGCTGATTGCATTAGGTAACGATAAAGTTTTAAATAAGCATCGGGCTCGATCAGTTAGCACTCAGAGAAGGAGTAGTGAATGACTCTCAGCTACTACCACTCCAAACTTTAGCTCAGTATCCATAATGGCTTTGTTTCGTCTAAGATCCCTTTGGTGTGGCGGCCATCTTGAATCAATGACTACTCTTCTCAAAGTGCCCTTACAACCCATTCAACACATTATGAGCTATTTTGCTAACAGTACAGACTGATAGCAATAGCACAAAATGACCGAGAGGATAATTTTGGCCTTTTGGCCCAAAGGGAGGGAGGATTCAGACGAGGTCAGCTGCCGTTAATGCCTCGTCCCCAAAGGCGCTGGAGCTGAAGTACGCTCATGTTCCACTTCATTTAGCAAAGGCACAGACGACAGCGCACGTTCAGATTAACCGGATTACAGCCGGGCAGACTTATAGTCCAAGGAGAGCAGCAGAGGGGAGAAATATTCTGTTATTGTCTCCGACGATGAAGGGCTGCATCTGGCTCCGGCTCAAATATCAGCACCCAGGCACAAACGGCACGTTCAATCAATACTGTAACCAGAAACCGCAGCGCGTGTGTCTGCGTGTGTGCACGTGAGTGTGCGTTTGTGTTGTTCGGAGTGTCGGGAGACGGCGCTGGACCTGATGATGTCATCACCATCAGATCCCCAGGACGGCAAACTTATCCTCTACCATCAGGCTCATCCTCAGGGCAACAACCTCCATCAGCACCGATGGTTTCTGTTTGTTTGTTTGTTTACCAGAACAACACGTGTAAACAACATACAGATAAATAAACTCATAGATGATAAACACCAGAAGTTCTCAATGTGAACTTCTAAGCTTTTCCAGCACCAAATGTCATATTTATAAAAAAATGTTTAATTTTTACTTTTGTTTTTATTGTTTTAAAAAGCAAACATGTTAAATGAAAAATGACTCCAGGCAGTTAGAAAAGACAAGATATTTTTAACTGTATTAAAATGTTTGATCTTTTTCTGTTTTCCTTTGGGATTCATACATTGTTTTCTGTTGTTTATACTTTTATATTTTTTAAGTTTGACAATTGTTACCCACTTCCTGGATGTTTCAGGATGATTAAACTCTTTCTGTATCAACAGTATTTATTTCAAAATCTATTTTATAACTTCATTTTAGCTCGTAACTATCATTCCACTATCATTAGCTAGTAGTTTGCTAGACTAGCTTTTAGCTAAAGCTCTGTTACTTTTAGCTGTCACTTACCTTTCTCCGATCTTTAACTTTTAGCTAGCTTTTATCTACTTTTACTTGCTTTTTTATGTTTAGCTTGTAGCTAGTGTTCTGCTTCCATTAACCATTAGCAAGCTTTTTGCTAATATTAGCTATTAACCAGCTTTTACCTACTTTCAGCTTACTTTTTACTACTTTCGGTTTTTAACTAGTGTTATTTTAGCTTTCAGTTAGCAATTTGCTATTTCTAGCCAGTGGTACGCTATGTTAGCTAGTGTTTCGCTGCTTTTACCTAGTGTTCTGCATTTACATTTTAGTTACCTTTCTGCTATCTTTACATTTTAGCTGGCCTTGTAGCTAGCTATTAGCAAGCTTTTGTCTACTTTAGCTTGTTCTTTTCCTCCCTTTTATTTGTGCTCTGCTACCTTTAACCATTAGTTAGCTTTTTGCATATTTTAGCTATTAGCCAGTTCTTATCATTCAGCTTGCTTTTTAACGCTTTAACAGATGCTGCGTTGATATTAGCTTTCAGTTAATGTGTTGCTATTTCTAGCTAGTGTCATGCTAACTAAGCCTTTAGCCAGTGTTTCACCAATTTTAGTTCAATTTCAGTTCCATTTCTGCTACCTTTAACATTTAGCTAGGCTTTTACCACGTTTAGCTTGTGTTCTGCTACCTTTAACAGTTAGTTAGCTTTTTGCATCTTTTAGCTGTTAGCCAACTTTTATATTTCGGCTTGCTTTTACCACGTTGCTTTAACGGATGCTGTGTTAATATTAGCTTTCAGTTAGTGTTTCACTATTTCTAGCTAGTGTCATGCTAATTAAGCTTTTAGCCAGTGTTTCACCAGTTTTAGCTAATATTATGCTTTTACATTTCAGTTCCATTTCTGCTACCTTTAACTTCTAGTTAGCTTTTTGCAACTTTTAGCTACTAGCCAGTTTTCATCTTTCAGCTCGCTTTTTACCACTTTGTTTTGTTAATATTAGCTTTCAGTTAGTGTTTTGCTATTTTTAGCTAGTGTCATGCTAATTAAGATTTTAGCCAGTGCTTTTAGCTGATTTTAGCTAATGATGCTTTTACATTTCWGTTCCCTTTCTCCTACCTTTAACTTTTAGCTARGCTTTTGCTACTWTTAGCTAGTGTCATGCTAATTAAGATTTTAGCCAGTGCTTTTAGCTGATTTTAGCTAATGATGCTTTTACATTTCAGTTCCCTTTCTCCTACCTTTAACTTTTAGCTAAGCTTTTGCTACTATTAGCTAGTGTCATGCTAATTAAGATTTTAGCCAGTGCTTTTAGCTGATTTTAGCTAATGATGCTTTTACATTTCAGTTCCCTTTCTCCTACCTTTAACTTTTAGCTAAGCTTTTGCTACTTTTAGCTAGTGTGCTACTTCTTCAGTAGATTTCTGCAGTCCTTTAGCTCCCTTTGTTGATAAAATAAAATATTTTTAATATTTTTTCAGCATCTTTTGGAGTTTCCTGCTTGTTAAAGTCATGGTTTGTGTTTCTTTATTGATTTTATTTCGGCCCTCCTGATTCGTCAGCAGCTTTAAGAAACTGGTTTAACATCTTTACATCATCCTGACAGAACCGAACATCCCTCTGTGGACCAAATGGACCCGAACAGGCCTCGCTGCGTTTTTAAAGCTAAATATTCTGGCTGTATCGGACCTCGCACACTGGATGAGGATCTGGACCCGAGGCCAGCTGTTCTCCACTCGGCCCAAGTTCTTGGCTCACGTTCAGTCCCGTCCTGGACGAACTTACGGCGGCGGGATCCTCACGCGCAGAATCAACGCGGAGTCGGTAAACACAGACCGAAGACGAGCCGCTAACTTACCATGTTGTTCCGGTTCTGCCTGGCAGCGGCTCGGTTCCGTCAGCGGCTCGGTCCGCAGCCTCGGCACACTGTATCACGGCGGGGACATACTTCAGTCATGACTGCTTCTTTCCACACTGAAAAGCTCGAGCTCACTCACAGAGAGAGAGAGAGCGGGGCGCGCGCACGCTCCGCAGCATTTTAAATCGATGACGCGAACGCGCGCGTGTTCTGACGTCAATGCATTCCTGCTCGCCTCGTGGACGCGGCTGCGCACAGAGGAAGAGGAAAAAGCCAAGAAATTATGTAACTGACTTCATTATTGTTTCTTTGTTTTGTTTTTTTCTTTGATCTCCACGGAGACGAAACTACAACATGCCGTACAAAATAATAAACATATAACACTAAAAAGTAAAAAAAAAATGTTTTTTTAAAATTATTTTATTGTAAAAATGCTTCTTGACAAAAAAAATCTTACAGCTGTTGTAGGAGAGCCTGTGCCTGTTTGTTAGAAAAACGCTTAAACTCAAAATTAAAGTTCAAAGAATGGAATATTCCGATTTCATGAGGAGGTGCCAGACTTCTGTGGATGTATATGGTGCTTCCACATGCTGCTGAAGCACCCTGTTTAACACATTAACAAACTGCCAAAATGTCTTGTTTCTCCAGACTTCCATCACCCAGCCTAATAAATAGACATCAACCTGAAAATTAGCTGTTTAGACACTTATAAGTGCAACCCTTAAATGTATTTTTCTAATATGGAAAAAAATCTTTCCAACATTATATTTAATACAAAGAATTGTTACAACAAAAAGTTACTGACTAAACAAATTTTCTATGTAAAGATGCACTAAGTTGCCTGCATTTGATATTTTAGKATGTTTGTGTTTATTAGTTTATTTAAATTCATTATTGTTCTGACTGCCTCACTGACTGTTCTGGTTCAGGATGCAGATTCTTTGTTGCACCGGAGTCTGCAGGATGATCTCATCCCTGATGTTCTTTGTTTAACGTAAACCAAACAGGGGAAATGACGCCATCTAGTGGTTATACTGCAAACACCACTAAAAAAAAACTACAGGAAAGACATAATGCTTAGATAAAAACATAATGGGTGACATAGGATATAAATCAATATCCCATCTTTAAAATTTCTCATACTTCACGGCAAATGCACTTAACGTGCATCATAATAATAAATGATTAAGCTGTGTGACTACATATAAAATAATTAACATTTTCTGGTTTATTTAATTAACAGTAATTTCGTTCTACCTCGCCTGATTTTTATTGTTGTTTACAAATCATCTGACAAATCTGACCTAAAGTGAAAAAACACACAGCAGATGAACATTTGCTTTACATGTAACATTAACAGATGAATACAAAGTGACCTTGAATGTGTTTGTGTTGTTATGTATTCACAGTGTTTATACAGAAACTGTCATTTTTCTATAAAATAAAAGCGTAGGGTTGCTTTAGGATGTGCATCTGGATAAAACAAAACACTTAAAACTCCAATTAGACTTTTCCCCTCTGTGCCAAACGTTTTATTAAATTCTTATTTTACATACAGTATTAGCTTAACCTTGTTTTAAAGTTTCTACATTATCATCAGCTGAAATCAATCCCCTGATCTGAGCATAAAGTCGTTCACAAACTTGTAAGAATCTGTTTTTTTTTTCTTTATTTACATAAATAATCACCAGGATTATCAGTAGCTTTAAGGTTAGAAGGTTAAAGTGTAAAAAAGTGAAAGTTCACTCGGATCTCTTGCAGATCTGGTTGTTGTTGCTCAGAGCCTCGGTCAGTTGGCTTCGCAGGATCTCTTTGTTGGAATACAACGGCAGCTCCAGGAATGAGTAACACGTGTACGCCTCAGGATAATACTGGTCCGGAGACGAGAGGTCCGGGACGTATTTGACTCTGATGCTAATCTCGATTTTGTCCAATCCGAGGACAGGAACTCGTTCAAATCCCGTCACAAACCCTGGAGAAAGAAAAATCATGAAAATCCACAATTTTGTTCCCTAAAAAGCAGTTTTCTGTGTTTCTGCTCACAAAGAAAAGCTTTTTTTTGATCCTCCGTCAGCTCATCAAACACCTCCCAGAACATCCGTATGTTGTCGTGGTCGGCGTGGTACTCGCCCTCGTAACTCGTGTTCTGAAAACCAAAAAGAGCCCGCGTGGTTTCGACACTGCGGTGAACAAAAAAAGCCCTAAAAGACGTGCTGAACAAGTGTTACCTGCTTCAGCTTCTCCCAGTCCTGGAAGTCTTTGCCCACCAGTATCTCCTGCAGCTCCTCGGGCCTGAAAAGTCTCACCAGGTCTCGTTCGCACACGTGGAAGAAACCTCGCGAGAAATCCTCGAACACGGTTTCCACGGACGTGTTGAAGGCGTAATTCACGTAGGCAGCCACAAACTCCTCTCTGTTCCAACAGATTTAAAAATACATAAACCTCTCTTCTTGTAAGAACTTTATTTTGACGTCTGGAAAATTTCTTTGCAGATGATACTTGAGTTTATCTTACTGCATGTGTTAAACTCAAGGCCTATGGGCCAGCTGTGGCTCCGCCACGGCATTTTATATGGCCGCAATAGCTTCAAAAATTTATTAATGTTTTAAAATAAGTTGCTTTAAAGCCAGCATTAGCTAGAGTTGCACAGGGTTTAAAAGCAGCCGGTGAGATTTGTTGTGTAAAATCTACAAGTGGGAATTTCTGCACCGCTAAAACACTTAGCTCTACCTGGTATTTCCTGCATAGAAACAGTGTTTTAGCACATCCTCTTATAAACACTGGAACGTAGTATTTGTACGACTGACGGGTTCCCACCAAACACGTTTTGAGCAGCAAAAATGCTCCCAACGCCTCCAGTTGGACGCACTATGTTCAGACTGGGACAGGACTAGACGCGCGTCTGCAGAGGGAGGAGCGTCTTGGTTTGTTTCCAGTCTGTTTTTAATGATGGGTGAAATAAAGATAAAATAAATAAAATGGCTTTGCTTTATTTACTAAAGAGCAAGTGAACGTTGCGCACACCAGATAATCAATTCACCAGATGATTTAGATTGTTTTTTTCGGTGATTTGTTCAGTTAGTTTTGCCAATCCAGGAGCTGATGGATTTTTATTTATTTATTTTTTGTCCCAAGCCCAGCGAGCTGCTGACATCGGTGCTGATATCTCCAGCCAGAACACCAACTGCAGACGGTCGATTTCAGCTAAAGAGCTCCTGTCCGTCTGTGTTGGGTCCAGGAAACCGTCACGTGGAAAAAAATTATTCTCTCTGATTGGCTGCTGCTGCGCGTTGAGCAGCCAAAGTTCAATTTGTTGAACTCGAGCAGCCGCTGCTTTGGACGCACCGCGTGCACGGAAAATCCTCTGCCGCGTCCTACCGCCACCTTGCGCGCTGCTCTAAACTGCCAAAACGTGCAGCAACACGCTGCGCTGCTCCTAGATGCGCGTCCAAAAAGTATGAGAGTTTTACTCTCTGATGATTTGTGATAAGTAGCTACCCTCTTGAATTCTTCCACCTTCCAACAGGGAATCCCCACTTGAGGGGTTTTCCAGTTTAAATATACAACTTGTTAGTGGGGAAATTCCCACTTCCCCATTTAACTAGGCTAAAGCAAAAGTAGTTGGTGAAAAAGCAGTGAAATAGAGATGTTACACAACTACTTGTGAACCAAGAAGGTTCTATAGAACAGCTGGAGCTCAGAAACCAGGTGACCGTGTGATCTGCTGGTGAAGCTAACGGCTAACACTAAACTGTCAAGACTCTGGATTTCCCATTACTTTACATGTTGACAACAGAGCAGAAAAAGGACTGACGATGTAGAAATCATTAAAACTGTTAATAATAATAAGATTATTATTAATATTTTACAGTTTATATAATCTAATGTTTTAAATAATGTCAGAAAAGCTGTTTGTGTTATGGCTTTATTAACAGAAGATAAACAGGAAAACATCTCATTTTACAACACAAGTCAGCAGATTTGATCTTATTTAGCTCAATGTGATCTGAGCAGAACATAATGTAACAGTTTAAAATTAAAATAATCTTATAAAGTCCATGTAATCACTGTTATTTATTGAACTGGTTAGCAGATATTAGCTTGTGGAGCATATATACAGAGTTTAGCTCTGTTGAATCATGTTACAATTTAACACAAACTATTAAATATTACTTTGTCCTCTGATTAATATTTAGACTTACAGTGTAAAATAATATTATAAATGTCTGATTAATATTTAGACCTATAGAGTGTAAAATAATATTATAAATGTCTGATTAATATTTAGACCTACAGAGTGTAAAATAATATTATAAATGTATTTTTAGGTTTCTGTTAGAGGAACCTGACCTGTTGGTTAGCTAATAGAGACAAGTTTCATCCTATAACAGGTATACAGAGAACATTTAATATTTATTAATTTTTATGACGGTAAAAGAAATAATAAATATACTTTTTTTACTAGCTGAAGTCATCAATTTTCAACTAGCTAAAGTCTAAGTTACMGGCTGACTTCAGGTCTGGTTTAGATCATTACTTATGAATTATATTTTTTCTGGTATAAATCTGCTGTTTTACATGATTGTTGAATGAAATTAACACAATTATTAATTTATTGTAAAAACATGACGGATAATCTGTGAAACAGATCCAGTTCAGCTTGTTGTTTATCTATTAGTTTCTATGTTTGCTGTGAGCTGTTGTCCTGTTTGGACACCATTTCTGCTCCTCCATGTTGTCACAGATGCTTCCAGTGGACGGGATGGAGCTCAGTCTAGTGATCTAAATTCAAGTCTATGTTGTGAACCCTGTGCAGCTCAACCTAGTGGTGGGCTGCTGTAATTTCGCAGGTAAGGTAATCAACATGCATTATGGGAGATGTAGTTCATAGTTAATGCTGGATTTAGAGCAGCTAAACATCTTTGAAGCTCTCACGAGCCACATAATACGCTGTGGCAGGCCACGTTTGGCCTGTGGGCCTTGATTTTGACACGTGCCTTTACTAATTTACTATATTTAAAGACATTATCTGTGTTGGTGTTAATTTAAATTTTTTAATGCGTCAAGCTGTCATTTGGCGTTAAATTAAATTAAATTATATAATAAAACAAACTCAAACTGTGTCGAGCTGTAGGATGATTTTTGGCTGTTCTTACTTGTTTTGGTTGGTAACTTGCTTGTTTGGGTTCTTAGTATCAAGATGAACATCTGTGGCCTCCCAGCTGATCTGTAAAGAAAGAAAAAGTTGGAATTTAAATTTTTTTTAATTTATAAAGTTTATTAATTTCTTTTTAAAAACAAAACAAATTATTTAATACAACGGGAAATACAAATCACAAATAAAATGAAAGGCAGCAGAATGAAGAAAAAAATCTTATAACATCTTTCTCGTTTTTCAAAAATTATTTATTTAAACAATGATAATAATCTGGAATCACCGTTTTGGAAAGGATTCAGACCAAAGAACGGGAACACTTACTGTAAAGACCATGTCCAGGTCCACCAGGTCGTCGTCTGGGTAGTCGTCCAGAATGTACCGCAGACTCCTTAAAGCAAACCAACACAATATTTTGATCTACAACATTAAAATCTGTAACTATATTTGTGTTACTGTTGATAAGTTTCTGCTTACTTGCCAACTTTTGGGCTAAACTCGATCATATCCTCCAGAGAAGGCTTGAATCCGAGCAGCTTCTTGAACAGAACCAGTGGGAAGGGTAAGTAAACGATGGCCTGGTTGTACAAAGCCAGTCCACACAGAACCCCGAACAGGTACCAGCGCTGGTCCCTGTCTGCAGCCTGGTGCTGTTTGTAGACAGAAATACAAATATTTGAATTTGTTTTCAATTATTAAAAATAATAAGCAGACCTTTACTACAGTAGGCCTGTGTATTGGCAAGAATTTGGCGATTCGATACATATCACGACAGAGGGGTCACGATACGATATATCACGATATATTGCGATACAGTAAGCAAGGCAATATATTGCGATATATTGCGATTTTTTTGTCCAAAAATTCTATTAAATAAAAACCTCTTACTGAAAAAAAAAAAGAAAAGCTAATGTTTACTTACAATGCTAATGCTACCCTTACTCTTTGGCGCTCAAGAGGTAGAGGAGCCAAATGGCTGGCTCACTGCTGCCAACTAGTGACAAGAGGCTGAACTACAACATAAAAATGAATGGCTGGCAGGAAAGTTGACATTTTAAAGCTTAGTTAAAAATTGATACAGGGCTTTAGAATATCGATAGAGTATCGGGAAATGAAATATCGCGATATTTCAGTGTATAGATATTTTCTTACACCCCTATCCTACAGTATTTATATATGTACATAATAAACGCTTCCTACCCTGGAGGAGAACCAGGCCAGCGTCTCAGAGTCGTTGAACATGAACATTCCTGATTCAAATGACACCATCTCATGAAAGACTTCATGAAAAAAGTCTTTTTGGTAGACAAGACTGGGCAAAACATTGCCATCAAAACGGACCTGTGATAAAAAGCAAAGGTATTTTACTACTATAACTATTTGTATGAGTCCATCCATCCAGGTTCTGTTTGAATCACTGATGCAGCAGTATAGGGCTAAACTTAACATGTATTACGTTCCATTGATAACAGTGAAAGTAAACATTTGAAGTTTTCTTTACCACGAGCTGCCTCCTGTAGTCTTGGTGATCAGTATCAGCCAGCTGTTCAAATGCGTCTTTCAGCACAGACGCTCGCCTCACGTCCAGCTCCAAGAATTCAGATACAAGACTATAAATTCCCAAACCTAAAAAAATATTCCGAAAGACTTGTTCCAACGCAGACAACTGGAACTTGTTCTGGTGTGAAGAAGACAAGGCAGGAGCTGTAAACTCACAAAAAACTTTCACAGCAGCTGAAGGCACAGCAGAAACTACATTATCCAAGTCTGGTTAAAAAAGGTGTCGACTGCTAAGTATTTATTATTTATGACAATAAGAAATAATAAATATACTTTTTAACTAGATAAAGTCATATTTTTTCAATTAGCTAAAGTCTAAGCTGACTTCAGGTTTGGTTTAGATCATCACTGCTTAGAAATGATTTTTCTTATATATCTAGCTGTTTAAAATGATTGTTGAATTAAATTAACATTATATTGATTTATGGTAAAATATTAAAGAATTAGTGATGCAGATGCAGTTGATAATAGTTGCTCTGTCATCTGTGAGCTGTAGCTTTGTTTGGTCGCCACTTTTGGACGAGATAGGCGGACCTCACTCTAGTGTTATTTAACTCTATGATCAAACC